AATTTTTAACCAATATTAAAACAACATATGAGGAACTGAGTAAATTATTGGGTATTTTTTATCGATATTTAAAGAAAAAAAAGTATGAATTATGAAAAAATAGCTATAAAGAGTGAAAACATTATGAACACAGTAACAGAAACTAAATACCGATTTGAACAATTTAAAACTGTTTCAAGTCCAGATAAAATTTGTTGATTTGTTATTAATTTTAATAGGAAGCAGTTAATAGAATAATCATGTAAGAAGTATGGATAAAAGCTATAATAAAAAAATAAAAACATATACACATTATTTTGAACTAAAAATAAACAGAATGCACTTTTTTGTTTGTTTTTGCTTAATWACTTGATAACTGAACAAATAAATGATATCCATAAAATATAAAATTTACGGTTAAAAAAATATTTATGTTGTTAAAAAGGTACCTAATAGTTAAATAACATTAATAAAAAGCTCTGCAAATTAATCAATATTGGTCATTCGACCTACAAATATAATTTTATTACATCTAGTTGAAATAAAAAATATAAAWGGATGATCAGCAATGAAAACTGTAAGTCTGCTTGAAAAACCGTCACAACATGTAAAACCTAATAACATTTTCAAATGTTTTAATTAGTTTATACAATTAATTATACTTACTAAAGCTAAATAATTGAGTGTCAATAGTTATTATGCATAAATAGTGTATTGCACAGTTTTATCAATTATTATTTACYAACGATTAAATCGGTAAATAGGTATATATATATGATGTTTACATAAATAATATTCATAATTAAATATACTCCTCGCTACCTCAATAAAAATTAAGAACTATACCCAAACACAGTATGAAAAATTAACTATATTACCTGTAGCTGCTGCAGCTTCAGTTCCTGTTTCATCAACTTTGATATATGCCTTATGCACGATTTTACTCACATACAGATCATTATCATCAACAATGTTAGAAAAGTTTGCCGCCAGTGTAAACATTGTTGGACATCCAAGCTAAAATATTATAGAAATAATTAAATATATAGATTATTTATAAAATATTCTTACATTGGATAATGTTTCGTCTAATTGCAGAGACTGTTCCAATTTGAAACGAGGTAATTTAACCAAAATGTATTGCTGGGTCATTTTATTTGAAATGTCATGTAAATTAATTTTTGAAAAGTTATTTTCCAGGATTTCCAAACCATCTTTAGCATCAGGCAATAAAATTACCATTTTAAAATCATGGTTCTAAACAGAAAATTACAAAATAATACATTTTTCAAAGTTTTAAATTTACATTACCAATTGGAAAGTAATATTACTTTATATGGTAATTCAAGTACGGAGAATTTTAGGACACTATCATGATAGTATTGTAAATCATGTTCGAGATACATCATTTTGACTGTTACTTGATTGATTGGAGTCACATAAAATGAGTCATCATAAGTATATTGAAATTGATGAGCCCAAGCACTTTTAAAATGCACAGCATTTGCCAATACTAAGGCAGTGTCTTTATTAATGGAACCTGTAAAAAAAAATGTGAACATACGTAATTATATACTTGTTTATATATATTTATAAACATATTAAATAAAAACCTTTTGGAAATAAATTCTTGATTTTGCTGTTTGTTTTGCTTGAGACCCAATCATTTAAATATTGGCACTGTTGTTCTGGATTTTTTTTTATTTCCAATTTTTCCATAGAAGATTTTAAGTATTTCATAGAGTTTTCCACAAAACTATCTTTAACATTAAAAGATGTATCAACAAACATTCCATTTGCCAATGTCAGGTAATCATCTTTATTCTAAAATAGTATTAATGTATTACATTTAGGTAATTGTATACAGTCTACATAGGTAATAAACTATTTTCATAAAAATGTATTATTTAACAACATTATGAGAATGGAGTTTAAATATAAATAATAAATGAAATTTGGAATAAATAAATATTCCATTGCCATTAGTTTCATTATTATGAAATCAGTAAACAGTAAAATATTTTATACCTATTTGCACATCAGAAACAATAAATAAATCAAATGTTCTATAGTAAGAAAGGTGTGATAAACTTACTGTTATGTCTTCCAATAATTTCCTATATGTGTTCATAGAATGTGTCGTTTTGTTTAGATGCATGGTGGCTACAATTTCATCAAATGTTTTTGAAGCTGCTCCAGTACTAGTCATAAACATAATCATATGGATACCGAACGGAGAATAGAAAATATTTCCTGTTTCAGTTTTGGCAATTTCCTATTGAAATTTTAACTATTAGGTAAAAAAATTATATTAAAAAAATCAAAGAATAACTTTAATACCCCTACCTTGTACAAAGAAAACGAAAATTCATGATATGCTGAGATCAATTCTTCTAAATTTGTAGTGAATTCCATCTTTTTTCGATCCGAAATTGGTAAAACAAAAATGCTATTTTATTTATCTTCAGCTGGTCRTTATCTACACAAAAGTTGACAGTTAAGTTGATATAAAACATTTTAAAAAAAATAAAGAACTTCCAATGTTCCTTGTATTTTTTCTCTTGAATAAAAAAAATTTATTCTGAGAGAGATAGGTACCTATGTTATTTATGAATAGGTACAAAAAAACTAATAACGCGCGACTTTTCAAGGCTAGACAATATTACAAGCTTAAAAGTTAAAGTTAAGTTTAAAAGGTTGGTTATTTAATTTGTATTTTTTACATAACTGCTAATTAGTTAATTTTGGGTTTGCGTTAATTTATTTTGTTTAAAATTTGTTCAATTGTATTTATAAAAATTTAAAATACCTATTTCAGGTTTGGTGTGAATTSTCAATAAAAATATAACTCCGATCAAATGTCCACGAGAGAAAAATTCGGCGTGGATAACTGGATACTGGATGTCTGGATACTGAAYTACTATGATAATTATGATAAATTAAATTTTTATCATGCTGACGATTCTGAGATTGTGGCTGTGAGTGCGACTAGTGCCGCTAGTAGGATTTTCTCCCCCCAGAATTTTATTCCTAATAATGTTTGGAGTTGTGTGTACAGCGGCTCACAAATACACATGCAATAAGTAAATGAATGGCTTCACTGCGTTTGATTTTGATATCTCTTATTTATTATATATATATATATATATTGTAGTACATTATATTTTTAATTTTTGATATTAACATAATAGATGTACAAAAATATTTGAAAAATATGTTATARTGAAAACGTAAGTTCAAGAATAAAAATTGTTGAGATTGCTACCACTGCGTATACACATTACACATGGACATATACTACAAGAATATCAGCAGCTATGTTTATAATGTATTGCATA